TATTTGAGTTGAAGGACAGATTTGAATGACAAATGTACTGTACTAAAAATTTTCCACTTCTTGCTCAACTGATTGACAATAAGGTTTTGTACCAACCATGTTATTTTTCATATGATGTATATTTAAGTAACCTAATTTAAGTTGATCATAGGACTTACAAGTAAAAAGAGCAAGAGGAAAATTTATGATTGTTATTAGCAGATTGAATAGCTGATTTCTTATGATAAAACATATTTTCAACTAGCCGTTATTCTTAAACTGGAACTGTACACAAACACTATCTTCTACATGTGCTTATTTCTGTAGTGTGTTGGAATGTCTGGAAGAATATTAGTCAAATGTGGAGTGTATATTTAATCTGCTTTGACATAAAATACAGGCTGTATACCTCCATTTTGTACATTTAATGCTGATTAGAAAGAAAAAATATTTTAAAGTTCTTTATCGACTGAATTTAAGACATGACAGAATTTGGGAGGACACACCTAAACGTTAAGTGCTTTACAAAGGAATTAAAAATACTTAAGGCGGTTTATCTGTAGGTTCACATGCAAAATTATAACAGAAAAAAATGTCACCCTACAGATGAACTAATAGTAACAAGAGCTAAAGAGCAATGATTCTTAAAGGAATCAAATTTCAGATATTAAAAACAACACCAGGGAGGGTGCCTAACGGGATTTCAAAGCTGTGACATGAAAAGGGATCTGTATCTATTTTGTGCGTATATTTATCTTATAGGTTCACACTCAGTTCTCTACTTCCTACTCCAGCAACGCCTGCGTCCTCTCAGCTGTCTCATTCATGAAACAATAGCATTGCCTAGATTTTCTTGTGTGTGTATTAAAGAAGTTAATAAATGTAAAATCTCTGTCTATCTCTGCATCTGAATGTTTCCCTTTCCACCCACAGTGTATTATTTTAAAATAATTTTAAAAAGACTTCTGTGTGTGTTTTAAATAGCTTAATCTATTCCAGCTTTGCTATGTGGGTGATATGATGCTTAAGCATTTTTTAAGTATAATACAGTTTATGAATCTCTTAAGACCTTTTCAGGAGGGAGAGCTATCATATTTAGTACAACACAGTCCCTCAGTTTCTGATTTTCTCATGGTAGTAACAGCAGATTTTTGGCTCTTTTCCAAATATAGTATGCTTTGCTAGCTTTTTCTTATTGAACCTAAAGGACATGGGTGCACGCCCTTTGTTGTCTCCTGAAATGATTAAAGAAGCCTCGCCTGATCACAAAAAACCTGGAAAAAGGCTGATAGGAGCTCTGGTATGAGGCCGTTTACTAAAATCCCTCTTATGACCTGGTAACATCTCCCATCCCCAGATCAATTCAATGTGCTGTGATTCAGGAGGCTGTAGGTCAGATCCTCTCCTGAGGATAATACTAAGCTATAGGGTAACAGGCAAATGTACAGTGGTGTGAGTTTCGTGTTGGCATCCTTCAAGGCACAAGGCATCCCTAGCATGTTTTTATCCTTTATTGGCATTTACAGGGTCCTTTTCAATTCCCTGGTCAGATACCTAGTCTGCACCTCCTGCTATGGCATCTCCTCATTCAGATCCCCAGACCTCACTTTCAAAGGAAACGTCTACTCCTTCTGCAGTGGAAGGGTGGGGCAGGGGAATTTTAACTGCTCTTCTGCCGTAGTACTGCTATTGTGAGGAGAGGGGGCTGATCTGGTCCTCTTCTGCTTAAGAACTGTATGCTGCCAGTTCTCCTCCAGAGCAGTCATACAACAGTGGTGCAGGAGATTATTGGATGAGACTTGACATCTTCCTGGATCCTACTTGAAAAGCGTCTACACAGATATCTTTCATCTTCAATCTCTAAACTTTAAAAGAAGCTTCTCTCCTTTACTACCCTATTCCAAGGAATCAGCCTAAGGCAGGGCAATTAGGTGGCAGAAAAACTTCCATTTATATCTAATTCTTCTTGCTTTTTTTTTCTACAACATGTTGTTTTCTCCAACGTTTCCTATCCTCTATCTCCAGTTTAGAGGCTCTTATCCTTCCATGGACTGCAGATCATTTAGCTATTGCTGAAACAACATGTGTAACAAACCACCTCTAACTCAGTGGCATAAAACAATATGCTTGCATGACTCTTGGTTCATGGAGAGTTAGCTCATCAAGGCTGGGTTCAGTTGAGTTTAACTCCAAGTTGTGGATTGGATCCAGGCCTGCTCCATCTTGGACCGGTGCTTACCCAAGTCATGTTCTCATAGTGGAAAAGCAGAAATGAATAACAGGAAGCACATCTACACCATCGTATCTTAAATCTTTGTTCACAGATGTCACTAACCTCTCATTAGCTCAAACGGCTCACAAGGCCATCCCCACATTCCGGAGACTGCAAAATACATTCTGTCCTTCATGAGACGATTGCAAAGAGATGGATGTAGAACACTCCTACGGGGAAGAGAAGCGTGAGGACTAACAAGTTAAACTACCAGAGATAAAAAGAAAGGAAACTTCACTCAGTCACTAGTACCTTAATTCAATTAAAATATATTTTGTTTCTTTTTTTGGCTTTTTCCTGGATCAGAAGAGACCAAAGTCTAGTCTGAACAGGGAGAAGAGCGATGAAGTAAGTGAAGCTATTTCAGAGACAGTACAGTTCAGCAAAAATATACAAACAATGATGGATTTCACAATACACTTGAGTCTTCTTTGGTCCCTCTGGAACTCTCTCTCTCTTCCTCTCTTAGATTAGAAATATTTGGAAATGGACATTGTCTACTTTTCCTCTCACTCTCTCCAAAACAAGTGGAGGTCCTAACGTTCTAAGTTGGCCTGAAGACCCTAGAAGGGGGGCTGGTTTCAAGAAGAAGCCATGCAAGGCTCAGTCCATGCTAAGAAGCTGGGAATCAAGAGTCCATTAAATGCAAGGAGCAGGCGAAGAGCAAGAACTAGATTTGAAGTATGAGGTTTACAAGGAGAAACAGGTAAGACTGAGAGAGCGTTTGCATTAGTAAAGCTGGGAGATATATTTCCTAGATGCCAAGAGATAGAGCATATTCTCTGGGATGCCTCCAGCTGAATCTATTCATTGGGGAGGATGATCTTGAAAGTATTAAGTCTGCTTATATACATGTACCACTTTCCTTTCTGGTTCCTTCAATTACAAAGATTACAAGGAGGGGGAGAATGAAAGTGGAGGCTGGCTAGTTAGCACTGCTAAACTTTGTGTTTCATGGAGAAGGGAGACTTGTGAGGATTTTTTCCCAATTTTACTTCCAAACCAAGATTTCAGAATAAATGCTATAGCTAAGAATATAAAGCAATCTCGTGGTTGACATTACCATTATGTCAGAAGTTTTAACAGGGCAATTATTCAGGGGCATTCATATGATTGGTGGTACAAAAATCTTAAGATCCAGTTCATATCTACAACTTACCTTTGCATTCTAAGATTGTAGAGATCTGATCCAAAACAACACTAAGGAGACATCAACTCCAACAATGTGGCCAATTTTACAATATTCCCCAGTGGGCATAAAAGCATCCTTAGTGGGTATGCTTGTCACTTACTTTCTCTCTAGCTGCCTGTTAGAATGTACTTAGTCTTGTGTTTGTCTCTACTTGTATATACATGAGGCAAAATTCTTTTCCCTTAAAAATGCAATTCTCTATTTGTACTATCCTGACTTTATCTTACCCTGCTTATCCCCTTTTCTAAATAAACAATATCATTACACTTAGTAATAGAAACAAATACATTTTACAGTTAATCAGATACTGAAGGCATGTCTTCAGTGAGCTTTCAGTGCAATAGTTTGCCAAGTTAGACTGCTTGAAAATCACTGAAATAAAGGATAAGGGCAGAGAGACTTATTTAAAAAATAACATATTTCTAGCATCTGGCTACAGATCATATTCACCTAGGCAATATTGATCAAAAGGTTACTTTTTCATCTGTATAAATTTAAACACTTCGGGTCTTCTGGAAAAAGTAGTATCTTGAGTTTGGGGATGAAGTTAGCTGTAGACTTGCTACAGTTACTTAAATAGGATTTAAGGCATGCTGTGGGTTTAGAGATCCAAAATAGAGCTTTGCTATGGCCAACCTTGCTGGAGGATTAACTGCCTTAATTCATTTGAAATAAGGTGCCATATAAATCATTAAATTAGTAAGAATATGCTAAGTGCTGAATTTTTAACAAAATAAAATACCTTAAGGATATCTTTCAGATCTCTTGCCTCAAAGGAATGTTCTCCATGTCATTAACAGAATAAAGGTTCTTATACTAGGTCCTGAGGAAATTTCTCACTCCTCAACTTCTAGTTAGGATGACAGATGGCATTTTGGTCTGTGGTAGGGTAGACAAATGACCTGGTTAGTCCTGAGATGATCAAATGAACACTGAAAAGCTTGGGGCCAAGAGGTACTCTCTATTCCTGGCCTTTTTGGTGAGAAGAGGGGCCAAGTCCTTTTATCATACAAACAAGAATCTGGTGTGAGAGACCCAGAGGTCGGCACAGGAAGTTCTGATGATCAGAAATTTCCACTTTTGCCTCCCATTCCTGTGACGTAGAAGCCATGACAGATCAATTGCATGAGCAAATCAAGGGTGGTGGTTTGGTTATTAGAGCCCATATCACTAATTTTTATACCAGAGTAATCATAGTTATATGGGTACAATATACTGTGGCAAGTTTAACCCCAAGAATTACTTTACCTGACAGCCCAAATCTTACAGAGATATAAGCTCTGGCAAGATCATTATTGAAACCTGCTTAGAAAAAAAAAATCAAATTCTTTGACAGGATGGCAGATGCATGTATGGAAATCTTGAAATGATATTGGTCTTATCAATTTTTAAATTACAGGAATTATATAAAAGTCAGCTCATCATAACACCAACTTATTAAATGAGTTACTTCTTCATGTGGAATTCAACAGCAAATATCAGATAAATCTAGTGAAGTTAAAACTAGTCAAAACTAATTTAAAAATTAAGTAAACTTGCAGGACACATAATGAGCATACAGAAATCTGTTGTGTTTCTATGCACTAACAGCAAAATATCTGGGTGGAGCTGGGTGGTGAACATGGATTTATGTGATTCCAATCTTGATGCTTATCTATGCACTATGCACACAGTATCCTCATGTAAGTCATCAACATTCCAAAATATAGAAGAAAATTATGCCACTTTAATAACTGACTAGAATTATTTTGTGGTTTTGATAAGATTCAATTATTTTATTGCAGGAGCAGATAATTAAATAGTTTCATATCAGGCTTAAATGCTTATTCCTTTTGGAAAGTAATTTCATATGGCTTTTTGAAATGTTAATAACAGAGTACAATTTGCAGGCATTTCAGAGAGAACTGGATAAACTCCATAGCCTAGCTTTGTATTTTAGTTTCCATATTGTTAATGAAAAAATAAAAATGAGTTTTCTTTTCTATTTTCTATAATATTATGATTAGTAAAAATTCATAAAACTGTCCTTAAAATGTGCATTTTGGTAGGCAAAAATCAAAAAGTTTTACATATATTTCTATCTAAAGGTATTTGACATTCAGTTGAGTTATTTTTTTTATCTGATTTATGGAAATAATAATGATTTGGACATGTTTTGAAAGCAGAGACTACAGATGCCAAGTTGTATTTTCATGTCATAGGAACAGTATCACAGGAAGAAAAATACATGTTTTATTAAAATGTTTTTTGGTGTCCTCAACGTATAGAGGTTCTATAAAATGAAAGCTAAGAACAATTGTTTTTATTATTTGGTGTGAAAGGAAAGTAAATTATCAATTTAACTGTGAAATTCAACTATTTACCAAACTAAGTAGAAGAATTTTGATTTATCAGCTTGGAGTGTTATCTATGTCAAAATACAGATAAATAGTTTCTTTATCAGTTAAGGCTTTGCTGGCTTCTATTCTTGTGACTTGCTAAACTTTTCCAAATATTTAAAGAGAAATTTAAAATTCTCTAAACAAGATTCATCTTGGTTGTAACAAATGCATTTTAACCAAAGTGACTTTGTTTTAAAGACGTTCTCTAAAAGTATATGTCAAGACCTAAAACTTGAATAATGAAGGAATCAGGTGAAGAGATTTCATAATCAATAAATTTTTAAGTTAAAAAAATAGGTAAGTGCAGTGATAATATTAAAGGATAAGTATATATTCTTGAATATTATGAATTTTTTCAATACCTGGGAAACTATAATTACAACATTCAAAGGATTTATATGTACATACTTTGAAGATCACAGGATTCTGTGAAAAAACTATCAACTTTGTTTTATTTAAAAAATTTCCAGAGTAATTCAGTATTTGTTTATGCTTAGAAGTTAAGGGGGACCCAGCAGTCCCCCTATCCAAAGAATATTTCTTTTTCTTTACACAAGTTATTTAGTTTCATTGTGTTTCATTCACTTAGGAGTCTTGTTTCAAAGCTGTTTATAGATTTTTGTTTATCACATCACAGATTGCTTAAAAAAGGGTAGATTAGAATGTTTCCAGTTGTAAATTACAGAAATGGGCTTTTTTGAGTCAGCTAAATGTAAGTTTATACTAAAAATATAAGGAGGAGCAAAGGAGAGCAGGAAACAATTGCACAATCACTAATACTGATGAACTTCTAAATAGACTGACCAAGGGAAAAAAAAGAGAGAAAATACAAATTATCTAACAAGAAATGAAAAAGGGACTATCATTACTGACCCCACAGACATTGAAAAGGATAATAATAGTACAAACAACTCATGTAAATCCAACACCGTAGATGAAGTAGACCAATTCTTTGAAGACAAAAACTAACAAAGTCTAGACCACCACATACATGATAAACTGAATTATTACCTTAAAATCTTCCCAAAAAAGAAAGCTTTAGGCCCAGATGATTTCATGAGCTAATTCTAACAAATATTTAAGAAGATAGCATACGTGTTTTACACAAGTGGCATTTCGCACATTTACAATGCTATCAACAATCACCACTATCTAGTTCCAGAACATTTTCCTCATCCTAAAAGGAAACTCCATACCCATGTAGCAGTCATTTCCCATCTCCACCCTCCCCCAGCCATGGACAATCATTATTCTGCTTTCTGATTCTATGAATTTGCCTTTTGGGGGTATTTCATGTAAATTAAATCATACAGTATGTCTCCTTTTGTGTTGGCTTCTTTCACTTAGCATAATGTTTTCAAGGTTCGTGTTGTAGGGTTCATCATGTTCATGATCGGTACTCTATTCTTTTTTATGATTGAGTAATGTTCCATTGTATGGGTTTACCACAATTGTTTATCCATTCATCAGTTGATGGCCATTTGAGTTGTTTTCATTTTTTGACTATTACAAAAAATGCTGCTATGAACATTCATGTACAAATTTTTAACACTTGTTTTAATGACTTTGGGTATATGCTGAAGAGTGGAATTGCTGAGTCATATGGTAATTCTGTGTTTAACTTACTGAAGAACCCCTAAACTGCTTTCTACAGTGGTGACACCATATTATATTCCCACCAGCAGTGTGTGAATGTTCCAGTTTCTCCTCCTTCTTCCATTTTCCATATATTTTTTATTTTTAAATTCCAGCTATTCTAGCAATGAAGGAGTATTGCCCTGTGATTTTGATTTAAAAAGTGTATTGTTAACATATTTATGTATGGGGGGAGAAAAAATGATGTAAGATACATTTATCAACTTTGAAATTATTTACTTTATTACACATAAAAACTGTAGGTAAATTAGAAATGAGACTATGGAAGACAATCTTTTGTTTGGATTTAAAAAACATGGCAACTTAAAAAATGAGGTAATTTCAACCAAATCCAATCCTATGCATAAACTGTATGTGCATTACTCTCTGGTGATTACCCATTATTGAAATTATAACCTCCCATGCATTGCTGATGAGAAATATAATTAACGAGTATAAAAATATGTGAGAGAAGACCTAAATTTCCAAACTTTGGTA